ATAATTATAAACACAACAATAACACTTACTCCTCATTGACTGTTCTCTGTGACGGATAGCTCATCAGTGCTGTATTGTTTCAGCCCATCTATTCCTCTCCACAACACTGTGAGGGAAATACTGTCATTATTTTCTATCTATAAGTGAGGAAATTAAGGTTAGATGCATTTAGTAACTTTTCTAAGGTCATTCAGTTAGCAAAGAGCCTAATTTTTAATCTCAAGTCTAGAGCCCAAGTTTTTCATTAATACTTGGGATTAGCATGTCAGAATGGAATCCTTTACTTTCCCCTTTCTTCCCCACACCCATCCTTCCCATTATTCTCTGTCCTATTTGAAAGGACCATATTTCATTCCTAAAGTAGAAGTCTGGGAATTGCACTAACCTCCAAAGATTGCGGATCACAATAGTACTTTGCTTTTTATGTCCAAAATATCTTGTTTGCGCTAAACAGAGGTTTCAAACTCCTGGCTTCAGGCTGATGTACTGTTTGGACTATACATTGTTTTAGAGACCAAAAAAAAAAAAAAACAAAGTTCTTACTGAAATCTAGATTTGTAACTTTTCTTTAGAAACCTGGGCTTGCTCTCTCACGTGGCAGCAGTCACCCGGAGGTGTGCAGCGGCTTCCTCTCACCTGGGGCTGTTGCCGGCTACTTTGACACGGTCCTCACCAATGCCTGTTGTCCTACACTTCAGATCCTTGCGTGTCCAGCCTTGTGGGCATTTATGACCTCTGGTAAAGACTATTGTTGTGCTTTCGCAGCTGGTCTTCTCCCCTCTCTAGTTTTTGCCCTAGTACTTGAAGGATTTTCTCAAATGAAATCTGTTACCTGCTTTCTCTTAGTGTTTCTGATTTGTGTTTCCCCACTGGCTTCTTCTCAGTCCACAAACATGTTGAAAGCTCTATGCTACAGTTGGAAGGAAAGAGTAAGAAAATTTAACGTCTACTCTGTGCCGAGTTAAACACAAACATGGTGTAATTAAGTCTCCGTGGCACTGACATGGATGTTCCTGATTCCTAATGAAGTGAGAGAAACCCAAGGCCTAGAAGGACTGTCCCCAAATCCACAACTTAGGGACCCAGACCTGCCTGATCCTGAGGTCCATGTTCTTTCTCCTCCATCATGTCAGCTTCACTCCAAGCTACTGTTGACCTCTGTACAAATAAACAAGTGTCTTTTGCTGTCTCTTTCCCACGATCTGCTTCCCATCTCTTTCTCCTTCCTTTGCTGCCAGACTTTGTTCACTTGCTTACACGGAACTCCGTTACTCCCTCTTCTCTTGTCACTACAGTAGAATTTGGCTGGCGTCCCTGTAATTCTACTTCATCAAGGTCATTTGAGCACCTACTGTACAACAGATAGTACACTGGGCACCAGTGAAATAATCCTTGCCTGAGAGAAGCTTTGCAGGCTAGTAGGTTGAAACAGATAAATAGTTCCAGTGCAGTGTACCAAGTACCTGGTAATTAAATCCAGTGGTTTCTTTTTTAGCCCTTATCTTACTTAAGCTCTCTTGCATCATCTTTTCCAAAGGACAAGCGTCTCTTAAGGAATTTTCTCTTTTCCTTTCTTCTTGGACATGCCTTACTCCTGGTTTTCTTCTTTGCGCTTTTTTTTTTCCCTTAAGAGGTCTTTTTGCATTTCTCTTCTCTTTTTTCACATGCTCTCATTTTAAATTTAATTAGTTGCCCATATTAAATGTTAAAAATCTTGAGGTCATTATCAGTTTCTTGTCTTCCTCTCACAAAATGACTCAGCGATTCTGCTTCAAAAATAGTGTTACAGTTTGGTCAAGTTGCCCGCCCCTCTACCATTAGTTAACATAGTCCAATAACTTCTTTCTCCCTTCCTATCTTAGTGCATCCTCTATGCTTTAACTACAGCCGTCATTAAAAAAAAAGAAAGAAAGAAATTTCACATGGTATTATTACTTTATTCCTTAGAATATTTTAGTGTCTTTCCCTGCTGCCTATCAGGTCAGGCCTCACTTGCATAGCCTGGCTCCCAAAGCTATTCACCACCCTACTCCCAATCAACTTTTCTGGTCCTCTCTCCTGTTTAGCTACAAAGCTTAGCACAGAGAGGGCACTCACTGGGTAAGTAGGTAGTACTTAAAAACCTGACCTTTTCTCTCCCCAGGGCAGTATTAAATTCTTTCTCTAAGTATGGTGTCCAATAAGTTTACTTCTCAGTAGTGTCTATCATTTAAAAATTATAATGGTGTAAACATTAACAATCTATTGGGTTGGCCAAAAAGTTCATTTGGGTTTTTCCATAAGATGTTATAAGCTATTTTTAAAATTCTGTTTTCAAAATTCTTTAGCCCAGTGTATGAACTGAACTGTGTTCCCCCAACATTCCTTATGTTGAAGTCCTAACCCCTAATACCTCAGGATGTGTTTGGACATAGGGTCTTTAAAGAGATAATGAAAGTTAAAATGAGGTCATTGGGGTGCCTCATTTTAATCCAATGACTGGTCCTTTTAAGAAGAGAATATTTGGGGCTTCCCTGGTGGCTCAGTGGTTGAGAGTCCGCCTACCGATGCAGGGGACACGGATTCATGCCCCGGTCCGGGAAGATCCCACATGCCGCGGAGCGGCTGGGCCCGTGAGCCACGGCCGCTGAGCCTGCGCATCCGGAGCCTGTGCTCCGCAACGGGAGAGGCCACAACAGTGAGAGGCCCGCGTACCGCAAAAAAACAAACAAACAAAAAAAAACAAAAACAAAGAAGAGAATATTTGGATACAGACATATACAGAGGGAAGACCGTGTCACAGGGAGAAGCTGGCCATCTGCAAGCCAAGGAAAGAAACCTCAGAAGAAGCCAACCCTGCTGTCACCTTGCTTTCAGATTTCTAGCCTCCAGAACTATGAGAAAATAAATTTCTGTTGTCTAAGTCACCTGGTCTGTGGTACTTTGTTATGACAGCCCTGCCAAACTAATACACCCAGTGACTTAGAACTGAGGTTTTGTGTCTTGTATCTAGAAACTTTAGCCGTAGGAAAGGGATGGACCGAGGATCTAATAGATCCTCTCCTCCCATCTCACATTTCTTTGAGGTATTTTACATTTGTCCTGGGAGAAGAGGGCCATCCTTACCTTTTCCAGACTAGGTAACACTTATGATCAACTAACTACTCAAAGAATGGCTTTTTTCTTTCCCCTTTTGGGATTATGTATCTATTTATCTTGAAGACACAAACAAAGCAGGAAACCATTAAAAATATAGCTTAATCCCCATTTATTGCATTGATTTAAACAGGTAATGAGCTTAGTATTTTCCAGGCTCTCATTTTGATAGCTAGAGTACAGTAAGTTCTCTTTGCAATGGAAAGCTATGCCAACTGCAACATCAAGTTTCCAGAGAAGATATTTGCCATGGTGAATTTATGTGCTTTAGAGCAATTCTCTTGAGGTTCTGCTGTGGGGGGAGAAAGTACTCTGAATCGCTGAATTTGGTGTGTGTTCAGGTTTTCCTAGTCATACTTCAGGTTGCTGTGTTGTCAACCTCAAAATGCCTACCCTCTCCATCCCTCAACCCCGCATTCTTCTGCCCAGCTCCTCAGCTGTGGTGTAGTTTGAACGAAGGAAATGAAGTATGCTGAGTGGGTTAGAGACTTTGTTGGAAGAGAACATCTGCATTTGTTGATAATCTGCTCAGATCAGATCTTCTCTGACCATTGCAGCTTAAATAATAATTTCATACTGATCAAAGACCTTGAGAAGGTTCACCTGTATGCCTGCCTGTGATGCTCCCCTTAACATCTCAGGTGGATGTGAGTTGACTTTATTTTATAAATCCAGAAAGAGAGCCCATAATTCTTTTCTAAAAACTCATAATTTATTTTCTGTATCTTCTACTCTGACCTCTTCATGCTGCTATCTTGAACTTGTTCTGTCCAGTGTAGAGGCAGAGGGTAGCCAGTCACCACATACAATAGCTCTTATTCTTGAGATATAAGGCATTATTAAATTGTCTTTCTACCTTCTCTAGCCAAACTGAGCTTTATTGGTTTTTTAGCCTTAGAGGACTTGATTTAGATTTTTAATTACGTATAACTTGTCATTAAGGCCTCTCCATGTTTTTTCACATCTCTCTTTGATGGTGGATCCAGCACTGGTTGAGTTTCATCAGTACAATGAGTAGACAGTCAATTCCTACAACTCTGTACTTTAAATATGGATTTAGGCATTTTGGTTTCATGCTTAATTTTCATTTTCGATTCAGCTAATTAAAATGCATAGCAATTGAACAAAAGAAGATTATCTAATTCTTTCCTCCATGACAAAAGCTAATCGAAGCAGAGGACTTGAAGATAGTCTTTTTACTTTGAATGGTAAAGCACAATTCTTTCAACGTTTTTGCCTGTTTGAAAAATTTATAATAAAATATTGTGAGGGGTAAAAAAGAATAAAGATTGAGAGTTTAGCCTTGAACAGAATAGGGGCACTTTTTCCTTGTGGCAGCAGGTGGTGGAAGTTTAAGGTTGAAATCTTACCTGTTTTGTGAAGTAGGAGCCACACTCACCTGCTGGGACCAGGGGCCAGAGAAGAGGAGTGCTGAAGAGGATGAAGGATGGAATGAGCCCTCGGGAGGAAGGAGAGGGGACTGAACAGACCTAAGTAAAAGGAAGGAGCCATCATGTTCAAGTTCTGGTGAAGGTGGAGGACACAGTTGCACTGGTGTGAAATTTTTCCCCAGTAGGTGTCTGGACGCAGCAAGCTAGCAGGGCAATTGAAGGCATAGCTTAAGAAAGCAGACTATGGGATGGGATGAATGATTCCCTCTGCTGTTCACTAGCAGTCTGTTCTGGAACAAGTCCCAGCGTTTCTGGTTCTCTGTTGGGGGGAATTCTGTTTTCTACCTCATTGTAGTTTTATTTGAATGAGATGAGAGAAAAATACTGTTACAAGACTGTGTCATTGTTAACTTTTAACTAAAGTAATTTTATCGTCTTCCTCAGGTAAAAGAAGAGCGT